CTCTCTTTCACTCATCACTCTTTTTCTCTCTATCTGCCTGTCTATTTGTCTTCCCCTCATTATGTTCTCCTTGCTTACTCCGCTCTCCCTTCTTTTTTATTTACCAAGCTATCTTCGAATATCTCATAACCATTACCCACATATCTCATAACCACTCATAACCATTACCTACATATCTCATAACCACTAACACATATAGCATAACCAAACTCCCTTTGACACCACTTTGCTCATAACCATTACTCACATATCTCATAACCACTCATAACCATTACCTACATATCTCATAACCACTAACACATATAGCATAACCAAACACCCTTTGATACCACTTTACTCATAATTATTACCCACATATCTCATAACCACTAACACATATAGCATAACCAAACACCCTTTGACACCACTTTGCTCATAACCATTAGCCACCTATCTCATAACCACTAACACATATGGCATAACCAAACACCCACACCACTTTGCTCATAACAATTACCCATATATCTCATAACCATTAACACATATAGCATAACCAAACACCCTTTGACACCACTTTGCTTATAACAATTACCCACATATCTCATAACCACTAACACATATAGCATACACTACAAGAAAAGTGGGCTTATGAGACGGAACTTTTTGCGACGGCACATTTGCCGTCGCAAAAAATGTGACTTTTTGAGACAGCACAACTTGCCGTCGCAAAAAATGTGACATTTTGAGACGACACAATTTGCCGTCGCAAAAAATGTGCCTTTTTGAGACGGCACAACTTGCCGTCGCAAAAAAAATATGACTTTTTGAGATGGTACAACTTGCCGTCGCGAAAAATGTGACATTTTGAGACGACACAATTTGCCATCGCAAAAAATATGACTTTTTGAGACGGCGCAACTTGCCGCCGCAAAAAATGTGCCTCTTTGAGACGGCACAGCTTGCTGTCGCAAAAAAAATATGACTTTTTAGACGGTACAACTTGCCGTCGCGAAAAATGTGCCTTTTTGAGACGGCACAACTTGCTGTCGCAAAAAAAATATGACTTTTTTAGACGGTACAACTTGCCGTCGCGAAAAATGGGCCTTTTTGAGACGGCACAACTTGCCGTCGCAAAAAAAATGTGACTTTTTTATTCAAATAATAATAATAATTTTTTTTCATTAAAATAAAAATAAAACAAATAAATTTTCAATCTATAACTAAAAAAAAAATGATTTTTTTTCAAAAAAAAATTCATTAACTACAAAAAAAAA